AAAAAAATATAGTGGAGTTGTCGTCGGAATATTCGCCGGAGTTGGAACCACTGTCGGAATCGGAGCAATTGCCGAAAAAAAATCGTCGCCGAAACGATAGCCGGAATAGTCGCCGAAACGATCGTCGGAGTAGGACGGTGATCGGAACGGTCGCCCGAGCCTTAGAGATAAAACAGGCCGGTTGCAAAAATTCGATTTTTCAAACATTCATACTCAATAAACATTATTAACGAAAACATATACATAAAAACAGTCAAATCTACTTTTTGTATTACCTACACAGACAGCCTAAAGATAATTATCCTAATTTCTGTTCACAAAAACTTCGTCTGGCATCAATGTTTCCGCTACTTTCTCCATGACATGACATCCAACTGGGGAGCGTTACCCATTTCGTCCCACAGCAAAATCAAGCTCAGAATCAGATGGAATTTTCAACAAAGATATTAATAATTGGCAAATATAAGGGGAATTATTCCAAGTTTATCAATGAATTAGCAGCAAGGATAAATTTGTCTAAGAGAAGCTCTTGATATTCATTCCAAACTGCGTAAACATAAAACACTCATACTATAGGTTGATACCAAAGAAACTCTTCAGTTGCCTTCATATTTTGGGTCAGCCATTACGTAAATATGCCAAGAAAGTTGGCAAAAAAGCCCAAGTCTTGATCGTCAATCAACCCGATTGGGAAAAAAAAAGGGCGACTTCTTGGAAGATTTGAGCAGCCAGCCTTGCAAGTGGGCTTAATGGAAAATTTACTGTATCCAGAAGCTGAGTGTGTACAATTGGCTGAAAGTAAATAACATTAGAGGTCACCCAACTTTGAGTAAAGTTTTAATTTAGTTATTCAACCTTTTTCAATTCCAAATTACGCAAGTTTGAATTTCATTTTAGTTGTTGTTTGGCCCCTTTTTTCAAAAATTCATTTTTTTTTCTAATTTATTTTTATCCACGTATTTTATGAAATTCACAATTTTAATCAATTTTTCAATTATTCAATTCATCAACTTTTATCAAAAGCTACTGAAAACTGGGGCATTATCTCTTACGTGGATAGCATACATATTAACGAGACTCGTTGATTACCTAGTTATATAATCGTCTGCTTCTAATTGTAAAGTTACGATGAAAATCGCATTTAAGTGACTATATTTTCATAATAGAAGTCTTTGTTTAGCTTGGAGGTAGTGTTTAGGTGCATGTAAAGAAGATTAGGATAAGAGGGATTTGGTGAATGGGTGAGCTTGGCTGAGATTGTTTTTTTCTAAATTCTTTCTTTTTATATGTTAACATGTATATAATTATGTTAAGTGAAATTTACTTTTACTTTTTAAAAAGTTATGTGACTTTATTTACAATTTCTCCATTCTTTATATATATTTTACTATTTTTATTTTATTTAAAGAGAATGATAATTCTATCATTTAATCGTCAAAATTTACAGAATGACGAGTTTNNTCAAAATTTACAGAATGACGAGTTTTTCTATATAATTGAAATGTCAATGATGAATTATGTTAAAAAAGGTCGATGGTTAATTTATTCCA